AGATCCATTTGTGAAAAAAAGTCTAATAAGAAAAGATTATAGAGGGCTGAGGTTGTGGATGAGTGGTAGCGTGTTTGCCTTGCATGCGTAGGGCACTGGGTTCGATCCTCAGCAGCACAAAAATAAATATTGTGTCCTACAACTAAAAAAAATTAAAAAGATATCAGAAAATTCTGAACCATATTCTAGATGATTCTAGGATTCTAAGAGGGCAGACACGTACGTGCAAAGTGCTCTTACAGGAAGAATAGCAGAAATCAGAATTTCTACCAAGTTTTTCTATACCCAGAATAGGGAGAAAGGAAGGCTTTGATACACGAAACAAATATAAATCCAAATATATTTAAAACTGTTTATTGGTAACAAGAAATAAGATGTTGAAGGCTAAATTTACCATAAGAAAAAAATTAAGCAAAAAATCAGAGAATATAATAGGAAAATGAATGAAATAGCAAATAACATTGTATCAGTGATCATAATAAATGGGCTCATCTATTAGATTTTCCAGCCAGGTTCGGTAGTGCATACTTATAACCCCAGCTACTCAGTGAGGCAGGAGGATTTAAGGCCAGCCTGTGCAACTTAGCAAGATCCAGTCTCAAAATTATAAAAATAAATAAATAAATAAATAAATAAAGACTAGGGATGTAGAGCTCAGTAGTACAACACTTGCTTCATATGCATGAGACCCTGTTTCAATTTCCTGTACAGAAAAATAAAAATTCCCTTTAAAAATTTTTTTTAAAGTTGGCAATGTTCCATTTAGAAGCCACCCACCTAAAGTTAAGTGACAGAGAAAAATGATATCAACTTCAAAACAAAAAACACTAAACTATATCACCAAAGATATTTACAGTGATGAGAAAATTCCATTCAAGGGCCTTTTTGAATGAAGAAGCATAACTCTGAAACTTAAAGAAATAACTGTTTAGACAAACTAGACAAAACAACACTGACAGAATCACTTAATATAAATGGGTAGCTATAGTATAGACCAAGACGGGAAAGGGAAAGAGGGGGAAGGAAAGAAAACCAACAGGTTTCAATAATTTACAAGCTCAACTTAATAGATGATAGAAAACTTTATACCAAACTGACAGTATGCATTATTTCCAACTGTTACTTAGAACATKTACCATCCTTCTCTTCCCCTGAAATTTATCCTAAAGATAACCTTCAGACAAAATGTGCAACCCAGGCACAATAGTATGTGCTAAGAGTCCCAGATACTTGGGAAGAGCAGTCCAGGAGTTCAAGGCCAACCTGGGCAACATAATGAGACCCCTCAAAAAAATAAAATGGATTTTAAAAATAATAAATGAGCAAAAGAACCTAGAGCTTTTTGAACGAGGAAGAACATATAGAAGGCTGTTGCAGTGGTGATATGGAATAGTCTATTCTTACACTGTCTAGCTTSGTAGCCTCAGCCCAGTTGTGATTATGGAGCCCCTGAAATGTGGATAGTCTGAACAGGCACAGAAGAGGAAAGAACACACCAGATTTCAAACACAGGATGAAAAATACCTTAAGCCTTCTAATTAATAGTTGTATGTCCATCACATGCTGAAATGATTATCATTAAAATTAACCATTTTTGGCTGTCAGTTGGTAGAGTGCTTGCGTCACATGCACAAGGCCCTGGGTTCAATCCCCAGCACCATAAATAAATAAATAAATAAATAAATAAATAAATAAATAACCATTTTTGTGGGAGCTGGGGTTGTGGCTCAGTGGTAGAGTGCTCACCTGGCATGTGCAAGGCCCTGGGTTCGATCTTCAGCATCACATAAAAATAAATAAAATGAAGTACTGTGTTCATCTACAACTAAAAAATATTTTTTWAAAAATTAACCATTTTTTTTTAAATTGAGGCTCTTGGAAGATCTTACATTTGTGACTCCCATTGTTTTGAGAGCACTGGTCTAGAAACAGATCCACATTTTCTATTTTCTATCCATCTCCTTTATGACATTTTTCAGTGGAGATTCAATTTTCCTTTTAGAACATTACACATTAAAAACATTCACCTTTGGCCCAGATGCTGCAGGTTTCCCCCGGCTTTATTCATGTGAGTTAAAAAGTTAACTTTCACAGAAGAAAATCATTTCTCTCCCCCATCATGGCAATTTTTTCTACTTTAAGCTTCAAAACTTTCCTTTGGGTTGGCCATTTAACCACCAGGGCACTTACTGGGAGACACGGACCAAGGCAAGATGAATCCACACTGGGTTAGTGGCACACTGGTCACCTGGAGTCTCAGCATTGTCCAACTGCAGGCTACTTTCTGGGTCACTTTTACCACAGAGGTTAGTCTGATCATCTGTGAAGGAGGTTCCTGCCTTGCTGGGAGGTCCAAGTATCACCGGTCACAGAGCATAGCACCTGACACACAGTAAGCACTCCATAACTTGTTTCAATCTTAAGCTTGTGAGGGTTAGAAATGAACTTCCTCACTTAAAAATCAGCTGTCATCTGACGGATGCTGATCTCGGTGAGTGGTATAACCAAAGTTGTACAAGGTCTAGCAGGAACCTCAGAACTCAGTCTCTATGAGAACTGTCCATTCCTCCTATACTCTTTGGGGGCCCAAGGACACAAACACCTGAATGAGAACAGGAGGAAGCTCTAGCCTTCCACATTTCTTCCACTCACCCCTGGTAGACAGCCAAATCTCTCTCCAGTGCCAGCTTCTTCCACAAGTTTGCAATTCATACTAAGATCTCCTGGATGGCCCACAGCTCATTCAACAGAGGTGTCTAAAGGTACTTGCCCAGGGCTGGGGATGTGGCTTAAGTGGTAGCRCGCTCGCCTGGCATGCGTGCGGCCCAGGTTCGATCCTCAGCACCACATACAAACAAAGAAGTTGTGTCCGCCGAAAAAAAAAACCACTAAACAGTAAATATTAAAATGTTCTCTCTAAAAAAAATAAAATTAAAAAAAAARTTTTAAAGGTACTTGCCCAGAGGACTCCACAAATCAGCTCTTCCATTAAGAGAGCAACAGAATTTCTGGCAAAATGGCCCAAAACAAATTAATTTTCAGAACTCTGTAAATTAATCAAAAGCAATCTAAGAAGAATTTATTCAAAGAATACACGCCCTTCACCATCTTCCAACTTGCTTTTTCCCCCCAAATACTGAGCCATGTTTCTTGAAGCCATCCTCAAAAAATATGACCCCACGACCTTGCGAGCACAGCCCCTGCCCTCACCTCCACTCCCGTCACCAAGCCCCGCGGGTCTTACCTGAGGATCCTGCCTTCATCGCCTCTTGTCCATCCACAGGAGGTTCTTCCGTCTTGTCAGGACCGCCTTGGGCTTCAGTCCTGCCCTCCCACACCTCCTCCCTGTGCCAGAATCCTGCTCTCCTCAGCTGGAGACCCCTCAAAGTCCAATCTGTACACCAGGCTTCACCAGCTCTCCCCCAAATGTGTCTGAAGGCCCCATGGACACCCTTGCACAGCAGCCAGACTAGATCACACACACGAAGCTTAAACCCAGGTGCTGCCTGGCTGGGCCAAAGTCACACCCAACGACCACTAGGTCGCRGGCAACAGCAAAGACTACGGGAGAACTTGCTGGGGCCCAGCTCTGGATAAACAGGGAACAATCTTGAGATTTCTTTCTTATGAGATTTGTAGCATTATCAGATCTAACAGATGAGGGAAACTGAAGGAAAGATGGGCCACCTCAACAATGACAACTCCAACTCAAGGTCCAGAGCAGCTGCAGCCTTTAGGCACAGAGAACTAGAGAATAGCTGAGCCTGTTGTGTTGGGCCTGGGAGAAGTTCCAGGAGGGAGCAAGAGGTGGGGTGCTTGGTCACCAGAGAGAATTCCACAGGACATACCTTCTGCCTAAAAACCCTCAGCTGCCTCTGCTCTCCAGTCTGGTGCCGAGGCCCACTACCCTGCAGTGTGGGCACACAGCACAGAGAACATGGGCCAAAACTAAGGGGGAYACAGGGTGGGTAGTTTACCCAAGGCAGTGGGAATAAATCAAGGTTAGGTACCTACTCTCCTGTCTTCAAAGAAAGCAAGAGGCTTGTTTAGTGTTTCATTTTACTATTTTTTTTTTTAAAGAGAGAGAGTGAGAGAGAGAATTTTTTTAATATTTTTTAGTATTTGGCAGACACAACATCTTTGTTGGTATGTGGTGCTGAGGATCGAACCCGGGTCGCACGCATGCCAGGCGAGCGCGCTACCGCTTGAGCCACATCCCCAGCCCTCATTTTACTATTTTTTAAAAATTATTTTTAGGGGCTGGGGATGTGGCTCGAGCGGTAGCGCGCTCGCCTGGCATGCGTGYGGCCCGGGTTCGATCCTCAGCACCACATACCAACAAAGATGTTGTGCCCGCAGAAAACTAAAAAAAAAAAAATAAAGATTAAAAAATTCTCTCCTCTCTCTTTAAAAATAAAATAATTTTTAGTTGTCAATGGATCTTTATTTATACCTAGTGCCGAGATTTGAAACCAGTGCCTCACACAACTAGGCGAGTACTCTGCCACYGAGCCACAACCCCAGCCCCTTCATGAATTTTTATAGCCTTCTCACTACAGCAGACTAAATGACATCATCAATCCACTAAAGCACAACTAACTGGTTTCAGAAGCCAGTGCTTTACACAGATATCAGGCTCCTCCAAGAATTCAAGGGTAGAAGTCAAAGCTTGGCTGCCACCTGGTGGGGCAAGGAGACAGGAAAAGGCCAGACAGACAATTCTGGCTAAACTGTCTTCAAAGAACTGGGGGTTCTCCTTTAGTTGCAGACCTAGGGGGCACACTGGGACCCTCCACGCTCACAACCGCCCTCTTCACTTCCCACCCCTGCCCCCAATATTTTCCACCACTAGGAAAAGAAAGGACTCAAAGCTATAGTTTATACAATTCGAAATTTATATATGCTCAAGTTATTTATGTCATTTATTCTTAAATTGCACAATGCTGAAGCCAGTCTAAAAAAGAATCAAACACACCACTGCCAGGTATTCACTGAATTACTTTTTTTTTTTTTTTAAACAAGTGTGTACAGCAAAAAATCCCCAAATGACAATCTATCCCATACAGCCACCTGTCCAATATGCAGGAGTCCCCGAAACTCCTGGAAGAGGAGCCAGGATTGTTGGCAGCTGCCCTCTACAGGATTAACTTCTACTTACAGGTGAAGTGTGTGGAAAAACCTTGAGTTCCCTTTGTTCTCCAGTGTATCTTGTACAAAATAATACATTTTTAAACATTATTTACAGAGTTTGCACAAATAGAAAATGGTTATAAATTACAACAAGGCTTGGCAAGATAACAGTTCCCCTTCCCAATAACAAGGGCCAGAGGTGTGACAATTGCTCCATATTTACATCTGCATTAAAAAAGTCTGGGTTCCTATAGACCTAGAGGAAGTGTATAAAAACTGATCAAACACCACCAAATTCATTTATGTTGAGCCATACAGGAAATTGATACCAGTCAGTCAGTTCATGGCTGGCTCCCTGAAGAAAAACTTTGAAGTAAAAGAAACCCTTAGCGGCAAGCCACKCATGTCCTGCGGCCAGCCCACTAGAGTCTGTGGGGTTTTGGTRGAGAGGGTGGGAAGGAAGCAGAATGGAGGGGGAACAGGACAACCTGGTTGAGACTGCTTCCCTTCAATATCTCTTTTTAAACAGCTCAGGTTAACACCATCCAATGGCTTTGAAAAGAACCCGCTGTTCATCCTTTCTCCTTGGAGAGGAGCGTCTTCTCCATGTGACCTACAGAATGGGGAGAAAGAGGACTGAGAGGATGACGTTTATTATTCTGATGTGAACTCTTTGCCTGCAGTGCCAAGCCCAATTTCAACAGTGCAAAAAAAGACTCCAGTGGTGGCTCCGCGAGCCAGGGTCAGAGGCTTGAGTAGTAGCTGTCCACCCACTGCGCGAGGCCTCGCTCCACCAGTGACCGGTTTATCAGCACCACCTAGAAAACAAAGTTCTCTTGAGAGCTTTGCCTGGAGCCGTTCTCAAGCCAACGCATTCTCCCTTCTACATGTCCAGTTGCCAATGAGGCGACAGGTGCTCACGCAGGGCCTGACACCAACAGGGGCTCCCTCTTTACTGTTCTGTGGCTACCTAAGCTTCCAGAAGGCCCAGGGAAGGGTTTCTCCACCTCGGCAATTTGGGTGATTCCAAGAGGGACTGTTCTGGATGCTACAGGATGCTAAGCAGCAACCCTGGCCTGTACCCACCAGATGACATTAACACAATCACCCCAGTCATGGCACCCAATGTGTTTCCCGGGTGGCACTGGCTTATAGTTYATCCTCCGATTAGGGAGGAAGAAGCAGGGCCAGAACCAGCTCCAGCCAACACGCTGCTGCTGGGCGACAATTCCAACAGAAGGGCAGGACTTACTTCATCTCCAACCACACTCCACAGCTGAATCAGGGGAAGGCCAGTTGGACTGTAACTTGTCACCTAGAGGAGTGGGGGAAAGAAATACATAAAGTGGCTCCATGCACCTCTTTTTATTTCAATTTTTTTTAAGCAATGGAGATGGAATCCAGGGCCTCACACATGCTCAACAAGTGCTCTACCACTGAGCTACATCCCCAGCCCCTTTTTACTTTTATTTTGAGACAAGGTCTCACTAAGTGACCCAGGCTGGCCTCAATCCCTCCCGAATAGCTGGGATCCCAGGCATGCGCCACCACACCCAGCCAAACACTTCTTTTAAAAGCCTGCCCATTGACCAAAGTTCCCTACCATGGAAAGGAAGGAGTTTAAAGGTCAATTCTTAACTGAGGCAGGCGGCTCCCYGGTGACCCTGTCCAGCTGGCCCCACCTCCAAACCAGAGCACACACCTGTGCCAGAAGCGCTGTGTTTCCTGTCATCTCACTCATAGCTGCATCTGCTTCAGGYGAAAAGTGGTCATCATCTTTACAGGGAGAAGGAAAAGCAGCATTTAGACTCTTATCTAGGCAAAGCACTCCTGTCACCCAAGTGACCTGACCGTCATTGTATTCTGAGCAGGAAGCTTCAGAYGCTGCAGGGACTTGAGACTGCTCTCAGGAACCACCCGTCAGGTAGAGACTAGACCTCCACAGGACTCCAGGATGCCAGATGCATGTCACCCTCAGAATGACAGGATAAAGGAGGAAACTTCTGCCTTCAGTGGAAATACCATCCCCACAAATCTGGGGACCAACAGTGCTAGCTCTTCCACCAAATCAGCAATACCATAAGAAGACTGGTTTTATGCCCGTTTTACAGGTGAGAACACTGAGGCACAGGCTAATCACCAGAGGCCATCCGGCTCCCAGAGTGTGCAGCTGGAATTCAAATCCAGGCAGCTGCTCTCTAGTGGAGGCGGCACTGAGGCAGCATTCTGCTCTGTTGGTTCAAAAAACAACAAGAACAGGCCCAAGGCAGGGAGTGGGAGGGATGGGAGCAGGTGTTTCTGAAGGTGTGGGAAAGTCTCATGAAGGAGGAAGCATTTCAGCGAGTCTAGACAGATCATTCAGTTGGACAGAAATGGAGAGSAAGGTTGGGCAACAGCAAGGAAGGAAAAACTCCAAGACCTTGCCCAGTGTTTTGCCTGGTGTGACTCCAGCTAGAGTGTAGTGTTTCTGTTGCACTTAGATTGCTGTAGACAAGCCAGAACAAGATCCAAAGGGCCAACCCTGGAAAAGAGTGTGATGGGCGAACACAAGTATAACAGCTATATTAGCTGCTATCTGCCCACCTTCCACACATCAGTTCCTGGGTTTTTATAATCTGCACAGCCACCTTGAAAGATAGATGCCACCCCCATTTTCCAGAGAAGAGAATGGAAACTAAGTAATGCCAGCCTTCTTCCCCTTGGCAATACTTTCACAGCCTTAGACACCAGACAGCCATGAGTGTGAGCTAAGTCCCCAGGGTGCCCCTAAGCACCTGTGAAGCAGCTGAGCAGTGCTGCTGACCTAGCACCTGCCCTCTCGAGTCTGGACTGTGCTCAGGAAGTTGCCTTTGCTGAAAGCCTCTTAATGCTGGCACCATACGTCCAGAAAAGTGGACCCCAAAAGACAGTCTATGGCATAGCAGCACTAGCTTCACCTGGGAATGACAGAAATGCGAGTTCTCAGGCCCCAGACCCAACCTATTCAACCAGGAACTCTGATGGCAGTGCAACTGTCTGTATAAACCCTCCAGGTGAGACCAAGGCTCTAAGAAGACCCCTGCTCAGCCACTACCTGCCCCTTGGCCAGAGGCTCCCCCGTTACCTGACAGAGGCATCACACTATCCAGAAGGACTTCTGCTCCTTGGAATGGCAAGGTCACAAAGTCAGACCTGGAAAGCCAAGAAAAGGGCAAGTTAACACGGACTTGAAGGCCAACTCCACTGCCAGTCAATTTACATTTTGCTTAGCACAGTGACATCCACACTCCAGGATGGCACTGTAGGCCACAGCACAGAGCACACCTGAAARCAGGCAGACAGCCCTCCAGCAGCCCGATGTCACAAGGACTCCTGCATCAAACTCAAAAAGGAGCCTGTCTTCTCCCCCTCCACATCTGATACTTGGGGGTCTCTTCCACTAGACAGCCTTCTAACCAGGTTTGACTCAGGTGAGTCACCAACTTTGTTTATCTCAGTAGTAGCAGGAGGGAGGGAACCCTGATTGGAGGCTGGGCAGAATTGAACCACACCCTCACACCAAGTAGGGCACAAGCCCAGGGGGTCTCCACTCACCGGATCTGCCGGAGCACGTCTACTTTCACCCTCTTGTATCCACCGTAGTCCACATATCGAATCTCCACCTCGTTGGTCTCCTCGTAGGAGGCAACCACTTGGGCACGCCACCAGGCCCCATCCGCACCAGGGGCAGCACAGATAACGGTGACTGCAAGAGCAGGAAGAAGAGTGTGTGGACATACCTGACCCAGGGCAGGGCTCCAAGGGCCATTCTGATCACCCCTACATGCCTCTCAGCATTACTTCTCAGAGGCCTATCTCTCGTGATTAGGGGACAGAAATGGCATGGGTCCCCAAAGTAAAGCCTCCCCCTGAGCCCAAGAAGAGCTGAGGGAGGCTGCTGGACATCAAAAATTCAGTCTAACATATGTGATACCCCAAAGCTATCCAGACCAAAAAAAAAAAAAAAAAATTCAATCAAGATCCATTACTTTGAAACTTACAGAGGTCTAAGATGGACATATTAATCAGAATAAACCAAGTATGATACAAAATCAGGGAATGTGGGCCAGGGCCTGCCTCACATTCCTAAGGGAAAGAACCTCTGAATGCAGCAGATCTCAGTGGCTTTGTATCTACAGTTTGCTCTGGCCCATGGCAAGAAGGGCACTCCTAGGCCWGTGCCCCATAACTAAGCCTTTGCCTCAGTAGGTGGTGCAGAGCACCTGGGTAGCTACCAAGGTTGTGCTCCAAGATCACCAAGTCCCTCCCAAGCAGCAGAGAAAGATGTAACTATGGGGTAAGGGTCACCCAGCTAAACTCCTAACTGTGCCCCAGGCCCACATGGGGCTGACCACTCTGGGTCCTGACCCTTGGTCCCTGGTGCAACCACTTCTTGGACTCCAGTCTTTATTGCTGGGTTGGCACACAACTTTAGAGAATCTGATGAAAACTAAACCTGTATTCCTCCAAAAGAAAAAAAAAGGCCAGGCATGGTGATTCAGGCCTACAATCCCAGCAACTCAGGAGGCTGAGGCAAGAGGATTGCAAGTTTGAGGTCAGCCTCAGCAACTTAGTGAGATCCCATTTCAAAATAAAAAATACAAAGGTCTAGGGATGTGGCTCAGTGGTAAAGTACCTCTGGGTTTGATTATCAATAGAAAGAAAGCAGTGGGRGTAGGGGAGGAGAAAGAAAAGGAAGGATGGACACAAAACACTGCAGATAATTTGAGAGCTTTCTTAGATGCCTCAAAGCCCATCAGGGGACCCCCAGGTTAGGAGTCTTTGATGGGGGTGGGAGGGGGGGGGGAAATAAAGGGTGAGAATGGTTCTGACATTTGATCCCCATCGATAAACGCAAAAGAAGTAACAGTGAGGAAGGTTGGTTTGGATCCAGCTCCTTAGGGGCTACCTGAGCAAATCACAAAGTCAGAGGCTCAGTTCCCTCACCTGTCACGTGGGATGGCCAACCCACTGCCAGGGTTTGCTGGGCTCTGGCTCTTTTATCATAACCAGTTATGCATATTTCACATATTGACAGAGTATCCAACCAGACTTCCTGGAACAAGTGGTATCACCCCACTAACAGACATAAAGTGGCAGGACTGGGATTCTGAGTCCATGTGTCCAAACTCCACTCCAGTCCCGCTGCTCTGTCAGCCAATGGAAACACTAGCTGAGCTAGCTAGGAGACTCAGGAATGCTGTCCCATGAAGGATCCCAGTACAGCTCTCTCCTGGTCAAGACAAAGGACAGCACAGGCAACCCCCAGAAGTTCTTTCTCTGGCCTAGACAGAGCCCAGAACCTCCCTCCCTGGCCCCCAGGACAGCACTTACTTTCCACAGGGGTGGGCAAGGTGGGGATTCCAGGTTGAGAGTAGCAGAGGTACATCTGCTGGTCCAGGCTGCGCAGTGCATGGAAGGTGGGGTGTGTGTGCTGCTGCACAAACAGGTGCCCGGCATTGACCTGGTTGACCACGATTACCTCCACAGTGATGCCATCAGGCAGCATGAGCTACAGAGAGGAAGGGGCAGCAGGCACAGCATCAGTCCTCCTCTCCTCATCTTTGGGATAAGCTCTGAGGCCCCAGGATATGTCTCTCAACTGGCACATCTTTGAAAAAGCACAGCAACTCCAACAACAMCACCCAGGCAGCAGAGTTCAAGAACCACTTCAGCCACTGCAGCTGCTATCCTGCAATACCTTGAGCAGCCATCAGGGGCAGCCTAACCTCAGGGCCTGGCAGGGGAACCCCAGCAGAGCCTGGGGAGCCAGGAGCTAACTGGATGTAGTGTGGGCCTCCCATAGACCTGGGCAGGCTCCATCCTCTGGAATTTCCCCTCCCTCCTCCTTCTTTTGATGAGTCTGTAAGACCCAGGGAAGGCAAACATGGGAACTCTGAGTGACCACTGAGAATGAGGTGCCTGACAGGAGGTAGGCAGCCCTCAGGCCTCTCAGCCAACTCCTCTGGGTCTGTAGCTGACCCCAGCTTACTGCCTGACACAGTCTGCCCTGACTTCTGAGCAGGGAGCAGCAAGCCTTGAGCCAGACCCATTGACAAGGTCAGCCAGAGTCTGCATCCTAGTTTTTCTCCTATGACTTCCTCTTGTTCCCTAAGTCCTACTCTTCTCTACCCTCCCGGTGTTCTTCTGGTTCATCCTCACTTTGGGCCTTGGTCTATAGGTGCTCAGAAGCCAGGTCTTATGGTAAAGGGCCCAGCAGAGGCCACTATGGTCTCTGAAAGCCTTCATCTTCAAGAACTAGTTTTCCTAATGCTAGGCTACAAGCAGCAGACAGGGCTCTAGGCAGAGGGCTCTAGACAGATGCCTATTCCGCCTTAAGGCCTGGAGGCCCAGGGGGAACAGGGCTAAGAATCCAGCCTGGCATGGCCACATGCCAGCCCTGTAAACCCAGAGGTACTCCCTCACCAGTCCCACTGAGCCCAGCAGAGTACAAGGGAAGGAAACCATCCACACAAACTACTCCATCATTTAAGGAGCATCTAAGGCCAAGGCTCCCGAGGAAAAAACTCCACAATTCGGGAGCAAAGTAGGGAACGAGGTTCAGCCCACTTCCAAAAGCCCATTCCTTCCTCCAGAGCACAAGGGTCTCAACCCAGGGTCAATTTCCCTGAAGCAGCATGTTTAGCCCATCTGTGTGAAAGGCAGTCAACAGCCCTTGGCCTACAGAACTTGGCATGCCTACTCCCATGAGAAGAAGCCTGGCTGGGGCCAAAGGCATGGGTGCTGCAGAATATGAATGACAGGCCCCAAAAGACCTTGAGCAACTAGCACACAAGCCCTGGAGACGTCAGCTTCTCCTCCTGCCAACCCACTGGGGCTTCCTGGTGGGAAAAACTCTGGATTTGCAGGATATAACCTGGATAGTTCCTGGAGAGAGGAAAGAAAGGATCCTTCACCAGGGCTACTACTTAGCCTGGCTCAACGAGAAGAAAGGATGGAAGGGACAGAATGACCCATCACAAGCCCCCTCCAAATCCCACACAGGCCTCTGGTGCTAGGTAATGATCCTAGACACAGCAACGGCTCTAAGGAGCCCCCACACTGGTCCAGCACACCCCACCTCCTGGCTGAACTATCCTTTATAGGCAAATGCCTGAAAACCACAAAACACACCCAGATGGCAGAGCCAGGGGAGTGCAGTCCTCCCACGTGGGACTGAGAGGCCCTGGCTTCTTGCTGGCGTTTTGCCCCATCCCCAGAGAGTACAAGCTGGCAGAACTGACCAGTGGAAGCCAGAGTTGAGAGGGCATGGGCAGCAATGTGCCTGCAGCCTTCTTGGCCCATAGTCCGGGGAGTCTCTYATTTGAGGAAGACTTGGGGGAAAGGGCGCCAGGAGTCCACTGACCCAGGAGCAAGCTTACCCAGGACGTCATTGGTAGAGAAGGCAGTGCCAGTGAAGGCAGCGGAGGAGCGTAAATATTGGTGAGGTTCAGTTCCTTGAACTTCTTTCCAATCAGGTTCAGAGCTTTGTCTACATGATGCTGAGAGCCTAAAGTGGGGTGGGGACAAGACAATCACTATGGGAAAGAGAAAAGTCGTAGCAGAAACAGACTCACCTACACACCCCATTGCACAGGACTTCTAGAGTTCAAGGGCATCTTTTTCTTTTTTAAATATTTATTTTTTAGTTGTAGTTGGACACAATGTCTTTATTTTATTTTTATGTGATGCTGAGGATTGAACCCAGGGCCTCACACGTGCTAGGTGAGCGCTCTACCGCTGAGCCTCAACCCCAGCCCTCAAGGGCATTTTTAAGTTGTCAAAATGCCAAGCTTTGATTTAGGAAGAAGGTCATCTAAGCCCATTAGCCTTTCAAGTGAGATCTCTGTCGTTTTGACCCAGGCTGTGAATGCAGGGGGAGGCAGATAGATGGGAAAAGCCTGGCTCTCTTGTGCTCCGTGAGGGAGCCTGTGGGAATGATGGGCACCATGAACCCAGGACCCTGGCCCTGCTCTCCCACCCCATACTTCACATGGCCAGAGATCTGGTGAGGAAGGACCCACATATCTCCTTCAAACCCCTAAACTGAAGAAGAAAGCCAGAGGGAAGGCACCCAGTGCTTCTTCCACCTCAGGCAAGAAGCCATTTCTAGCAACTGGGACTCAAATGCTTCCATGTACTCACACTGCAGGTAAGAAAAATAAGCACTGGGCAACAGGTACCACCGACCTTCTATGTGGCAGATCTGGATGTTCTGGGTGTAAGGCAGGGTTGAGATGTAGATCTTGGCACCAGATGTTTGCTTCAGGAAACTCACATACCGCCCCTGCTTGCCGATTAGCCGACCAACTAAGTGCTTCCCAGGAGAGAGAGGGGAGGGTTAGCAGGAAACCAATTCCTCACATCCCAAAGACCTACTTTTTATTATTATTATTATTTTTTTAGATGTTGATGGGCCTTTATTTTATGCATTCATTTGTGTGTGGTGCTGAGGATCGAACCCAGTGCCTCACACATGCTAGGCAAGTGCTCTGCCACTGAGCCCCAACCCCAGCCTCCCAAAGACCTACTTCTGTTTTACTGTTTAGCTGTTACTATGTCAGCCTTTTTTTGCCCAGACTGTTCCGGGCACTCATATTCACTCACACTACCTGTGAAACAGATAACACCTTTATCACCATTTTACAGAGGAAAGAACAAACCCAGAGGCCAAGGAACCCACCCCAGGTCACACAGCTGCTAAGCAGTTGAACAAGGCAGTCTGGCTGCAGGACCCAACAGCTCCCATCTCATCCCAACAAGGTGGCCCAGACCGAGAAGCCTTGGGGGCAGCCTTGCTTCTTCCAGCTCACGCGTGAGCAGTTTCAGCAGCAGAAGGGCTGACTAGGATTCCTCATAGCCCTGCTTTTCCAAGTCTGCTCAGGACCAAAGGAAAAGGGCTCTGTTTCCAAGTAAAGCACCTAAGGACACTTGGGCTCTTACTCAAGGGACGGCGGCCTGGAACCTTCAGAGCACAAGGCATGCAGAAGTGCCCAGTGCRCCAGAGTTCAAGGCAGGCAGGCAGAAGCCAAACTTAGCCATGATGTAAGACAAGCTCCGGAACAATCCCAAAAGACCCCTCCCCAGCAGGGCTACGAGGGACATTTTCCTCCTCACCCAGGGCCTGCCTCAGCAATCGGTGTTTACAGAGGACATGGCAACAAGGAGACCAGGGGAGGAAACCACCACAGGAGCCAGCAGCCTGGGGTCAATACAGCCGTCCTGACTCGGGTTCAGGGCAAGCCAGGTCTCTACCTCTGCACGGAGCCAAATGCCCTGGGACAGCAGTCTAAGCAGACTGCCAGTTATTTCTGAGCCCCAGAGATAACAACTTATTAGCTTGATTTTTAGGTTTAAGTTATAATAGCAAGGTTAGACTGCTGAAGCAACCCAGGAACTGGGGACGGGCGAGGCAAACTGCCGTTCACACAATGAATAATGCAGTCAAAATTAYGTTTTCAGAGAATAACAAGTAAATTAAATTGTTAAATATTTAAAAGCATTAATTAAAGCAACATAATCTCAGTTTTGTTTAAAAACCACAGGGTGTGAGACGAGAAGGAATTAAGTCTTTGCAGTCACTCTCAAGGGTAGGATTAGAGCTGGTTTTTATTTTCTTCATACATTTCTATACCATTCAAGTGTCTCTGAAACACAGTTTTATGCTTTGCTTGATTATAAAATGCACTTAACACAGGAGAGCTGGAGTGGGGGCTCAGGGAAGGGGGACTGCTGCCCCAGTCCTCAGTCTGATTTGCACTAACAAATCTGCAGACAGAATCGAGCCCCAGCACAAACGGAGACAGGGAGAGGGCAGGCCCGAGACTTAGAGGACAAGAGTTAGAGGTCACTGGAAGAATCCCATCCACAGCACAGTCTGAACCTTGGCAAGCTTCAGGACTTCAGCTCACTAGGGACCCCTTCTGATTCACTGGCCTCCCCTACCCTGGGGGACAGAGAACTTAAGCTTGCCACAGAACTTGGCCCTGGGGGATGCAGCCTTCCTTACCTTTGGCACTTCAATCTCCCAGATGATGAGGTCAACCTTTTTAGGGTTGGAGCCTGCCTGKGCATTCTGGAAACTGTCGGTCTTCTTGAGTCCACAACAGCTATCCACAGAATCCATGCTGTTCCCGTCGGAACCTGCAGGAAGGAAGCAGCATGCACACACAGACCCAGCTCAGAGCTGTCGATACCCACGACTTCCAAAATCCACATTACTGGGAGTTCCCTCCACCCCCCAAGTTGGCAGGTGACTGTTAACTCATTCTAGAGGGTTCAGAGAAACCCCAATGAAAGGAGGCCTAGGGGTATCAATACTCCTAATTTTAGCCTGTCACTTACAGTCCCACTTGCTTATTTGGCAGCCACGCCCAGCCACAGCTGCTGGAACACAGACACAAGTGGTCAACTGGGAAGAAACTGACTTCACGCCCAGGGAGGGGAGTGCATGGTGGGGGAGGGGACAATCCACTGGTCCACATGGTCCCAGGAGCTGATCTGGACTGCCACCTCATAACCATCTTGCCACCCTTCCAAGTGTCCCATCCCCTCTTCAGACCAAAAGTGTCTAGTCCCAAGGCCTCAGGCCTGGCTTCATCAAACAGAATAAGACAGAGTCTCTTTGGCTTGTCTAGTGGCCCCACTCTCATCTCCGATAGAGACCTCACTTGTTTCTCTGGCAGATGTGGACAAAGGAAGGACAGCCTTCTTTCCCTGACTTAGGCCTGGCTTGTGCAACTCTGAATTCTTTTGGGGGCTCAAATATCCCCTGTTCAAAAGATGGAGCTAAGCTCATTCCCAAGAGCACAATGGGAAGGGGGACCCTGGCACCAACTTGAGCCCAGGCCACAGCAAAGGAAACACTGCAGAAAATCAGGGGTCCAGATAGTTTATGAGAAACAGCTCTGGCTTAAATATGGACAACTCAACACCTAGAAACAGATCACTCCTGCGAGTCTACTATTTAGGTTATTTTTCATGTAGGTTTCCTGGACCCTAGACATAAGCCTCTGCCAATCAATCCGTGCACTGCCTAGATACAAAGGACTAAGGCTAAAGAGTCTGCTCCCAGCAAAGTCACTTTCAAAGTGACCTTTTCTCTCTCAACACCAGTGGCTTGGAATAGGCTTCTAACAGGGAAAAACCCTCCTGAGGGAGCTGCTTGACCAGCTTGCTGGAAGAAGGACAGGGTGATGGAGGCTCTGCTCATTTTCAGCCATTGTCCAACAGAACTGGAACGACCAACACCTGTACCCCAGTGGCACCCAGGAGTGGCTCAGAATCACGCCAGGCGTTTAGCAAGCCGCATTCAAAGGCCAGCTGCCAGCTCCCTAAGCTTCAGCTTCTTCATGCTCCAAGCAGAGAACCCTTTGCCTGGTGCTCAACACCCCCTGAGCATCGATGGTCGGTGTCATATGCTCTGACTGATCAGCTACCCCTAAACTTCTCCACCTATCACAGGAGACTCAGAGCCTCCTTGTCTGCAAAGTTACACTCAGAAGCCCTCAACCCATCAGAACAGGTAGGATGATCAACCCAGAGCTGACACAAGACTAGGGGACTCATTAATTAAGCTGAAGGGCAACAGGCAAAGGGAAATTCTTAAAAAAAGAAAATAAACAAATAACCTTTTTTTACCCATTTTAAGATACAATTTTTTAAAAAGCATTTTAACATTAGGCTATTGGTGGGCAGCATTTTCTTCTAGAGGTAAACAATAGTGGTCTCAGTCAACAGCACTTGGGGTGATAGAACAGCGCTGTGTACACCAGATGCTGCTGAAAGCAGAACACCTTAGAGAGAGTCCCAAGCTTCCTGGACGGAGCTGAAATGGTAGGGAAGGGCTCCAGGACAAGCAAGTCAGAGAGCCACTTGGGAAATCATGACATTCTCTAAAATACATGAAAATATCCCAAGGGGGAGCCGTAGAAGCAGGACCAGGAGCTGCTGACCTGTAAGTTAGCGGTCTGAACTGTCTACGCTGGGGTCAGCACTCGAAAAACCCAGTGGCACTTCGTTACCAAAGTGCCCCTCTTTCCCAGGGTGGAACTGCAGCTGCACAGAAAAAAAATGGCTGAGACTGTGAAGGAATAGGTGACAGCGACAACCCAGGAGCGCTTGAGCCTCCCCAGGGACTCAAGGCTGTGGCTGTTCATGGGACACTTACCCTGAAAGAGCTTCTGGAGAAGGAAAGCCGGTGAAGACATGGAACAAGCACAGGATTAAATGGAGGTCAACCACTGAGCAACACTCCCCAGACCTGGCACTGGGGGAGATAGCTAAGAGGCCTCTCGATTAAAGACCCACTAAGAGTTCGGGCTCTGAGGAGAAGAGGCACACCAAGGCTAACCGGTGGACCCCACTTTGAACTGGTTCCTTCTAAAAGGCTAAGGAGGCTCCCTGGCTGGTGAGCCAAGCCACAGCTCCTGTGGCTTTGGGGTCTCAGGACAGTGTGCCTTCTCATCAGGTCCCCGCCAGCTCCCTGCCACGCCCACCTCTCTGCGGGCCCCCTGGGACACAGAGTTGAAGAGTGCCTTCACTTTGTTGCAGAAATGGCCAGAGGGAGGGACAGCCTAGCAGCTTTTCCCTAACAAATAAGGGAAGCCCTCCCCTGATCCTCCAGTGAGCCCCCGGGACCCACCTACCTCCCGAGTGATCTGCTTCTGCATCCGCGGTCCATCCGTCCTCAGTCCCCAAGTCTGACAACTCCCCTTTCAGCACCCCATTACTGAAGGGCACAGTACTGTCCGGCAGCGGCGGGGTGATGGCCTTGTCCCTGGGGCTTGAGTTGGTCTCTGTGCAAGAGTCTTCGAGCCCTGAAGTGCTGACRGAATCCGAGCACTGYCCRGAGGAGGCCGCGGAAGGAACACTCTGGCTGKCTGACACACAGGTRGCACAGGTGGCATCTTCCGCCAGGATGCTTGCCTCGTCCACKGACTCTCTGAGGGGGCTCGCTGGAGGTGGGCAGGGAGCCAGGGAGTTGTGGTGTGTGGAGTTCTTTGGCTTACTGTCCTCGGTGGGGCTGGAAAGTGGGCTGCTCAGGCAGCTCACATAGGTCTTTGGTGAAGGCAGGTTCTCTGCTGGTGGGCCTGGCAAGGGAAGGGCAGAATCCACTGCACCAGCGGCTGCCCCCACCACGGCTGGAGCAGCCTGTGCAGTGTCTTGCCCCAGGACAGTTTTCTGGCTGGCTGGGGCACTGCTCTCCGCCTGCCCTACGGTCGGACTGCCTGAGGCCTGATATAACTGATCTGCCATCTTGTCCCCCGAGCCGGCCTGCACCTCTTCGGTTGCTTCCAAGATCACCTGGGAGATTATCTGGAAGGCAGCCTGCTCAATCCTCTCATTCTTATCCAAGCTCTCCTTTTTGCCTAGTTCTGCAGCCATGTCTCTGTCCCAGGTACTGTCATCTTGGACCTCAGATGCCTGCATCTCCTCATCCTTTGTCAGCTCTGCGTGAGCCAACTTGCCAGAGCTACTTAACAATTTTCCAACTGCAGACTCTTCTCTCAGAGGGGAGAAGGGGCCACCGCTCCCCTTCTCTCCTCCGCCTCCCRAGGGGGCCAGGCTGAGGGCCTTGCTATTCTCCAATTCTGAGACACACTCCTGGGACAACAAGCCTTCTTCAAGCACGTTTTCCCCCAACATTGCATCACCGGTCCCCTCGGCTCCACGCGTCTCTCTTGCCTTCTCCCCAGGGCTATGCTTCTCTGCAGCACACACAGACTGGCTGGGCCAGCCCCTCCCTGGTGCCTTACTGAACACCACCTCTTGCTTACACACCTCTATGGCTTCGTGGGGGAACACCACATCCTTGGGAGATGGGAGGGGACACTCAAGAGGAACAGATCTGGTTTTGTCACCCATCAGGGCGAGTTCCACCTTTGCAGTGTCATCTTTGTGTGTTCCTGGTTGAGATCTTGTGTCTGTGGGGTTAGGGAGGCAGCCTGAGGACTCTGATCTGCGACAGGTTGGGTGTGTGCGCAGCGAGGCTGGGGGCTCCACAGAAGGCTTGCTTGCAGTGGACTGTTCCTTTTCTAATGGCTGTGTGACACTGCAGGGTGTGGACGCAATTCCAGGACAGGCTTCTTGTATGGGGAGCGATTTCTTGATGTCAGGGCTGGCCCTCAGCACCACACTACCAGCGTCCACCTTTTTATCATTGCTGCTGACCTGCTCTTTTTTACGAGAGAAAAACCACCACCAGCCGAGGAGCGCCAACATTCCAGGCAATGCCAAGGGAAAGAGTGAACGGAAATGGATTGCCATCCTGGAGGCCTGAAGTAGTTATGCCTGGGAAAAGCAGGAAGACAGGGAGAGACATGGGGTTATGAGAGTACAGGCACTGCACATGAACATGCTGAATTAGACCTTCATTGGGTGTTTTGTTGCAGAGATAAGAAACATCAGTGCTTCAGCATTCTCTGGGTGGTTCTGACATTCAGCTGAAGGTTGGGAACCAATGCTCTAGGACCTTTCTTTTCAAAGTATAGTTCAGGGACCAGAATCCTGTGCAGCACCAAGGAACCTGCCAGAAATGCAGCTCCTTGGCCCCACCCCAGAACTACTGAATCAGGGCTGGATTTTAAGATGCCCAGAAGAGCATGAGCACATTACAATTAGAAGGAATGCTAGGAGATGGGATCTACCCCTGGAGTGCAGGGGTGAGGGAGTGCAGCGAGGTCATCTCCAGGAAGTCCCTCTATGTTTAAAAATGAGCTTCCTTGCTAATATCTGAAGATAAAGCAATGAGACTGGAAAGTACAGAGCAAGGCTAAGCAGTGGCCAAGGCTCAGATGACTTTATAACCCACCCCCAGATGGAAAGCTTCAATGATGCGACCTTATCACTTCACAAATGAATAACCTTGATAGATGCTTTCCTTTGTATCACTTAATCCTCGGACCACTTGGTAATACAAGGAATGTATTACCTTGAAGGCTAAAATACACTCAAGGTTATACAACCAAGGAATAGGAACACAGCTTCTATTCCACATCAAATCTGGAACTCACTAGTTAGTGGACTCCTAGGAAAGACATATTGTGTGGGCCAAGAAAAGAAGAAGTCTGTACTACCTTTTTGGAAAGCTTTAGTAACAGTTCATGAAACCTTATGAGCCATACCCTAACAACCCCAAAATCCCACACCTGCAAGCTTAAAACAAAAAACTCTGTAGGCTGAGGTCTACCTAAGAATGCCGATTAGGGTATCATTTGAAACAAAACTGGAATTACTTTTTCAGGGAAAAAAATCACTGCTAAATATATTGTAGAATTCATGAGTAGATATATTAGGGTTAGAAAAAGAAACTGGTTTTGCCAAGCGTTGTGGCACATGCCTGTAATCCCATGGGCTCAGAAGGCTGAGGCAGAAAGATCATGAGTTCAAGGTCAGCCTCAGTAATTTAGCAAGGCCCTAAGCAACTCAGTGAGACCTTGTCTCTAAATAAAATATAAAAGAGGGCTAGAGATGTGGCTCAGTGGTTAAGCACCCCCGGGATTCAATCTCCGGTATCAAAAAAAAAAAAAAAAGTTGGTTTCACGCATGGAAAAAAGCAGAAAACAGAAGTTAGAGACTACTGTGTATGCAATGTCTACTACTGTGTATACAATCCCGTGGAAAAACCAGGAAGGACATACACATGACCATCCAGCTGGGGGAAAGGAAAAGTTTTTGCACTTTTCATTTCATATCCTGCGACCTTGATGAGTTCATTTGTTAGCTGGAATAGTTTTATTTTGGGGCAGATTTCTTATCTACAAATATTTCATAGTGGTTCTCCAACTTGAAGCATTACTGGAGGAGCTTCTAAAAGCCAAGGCCAAGAGAGGGATATAGCTCAGTGGTAGAGGACAATATGAGGTCATCAAAAAAAAAAAGAAAAAGAAAAAGTTCAAGGCCAAATCAATCTCTGAGGGGATAAGAATCAATACCAGTTCTTTTGTTTCTGTTTTAAACACAGATAATTTCAAATGTAGTCAAGTTTGAGAATCACTGTTCTGTAACCTCCCTCTCCCCAAAGAAAGTAGATTACAGGAGATCTACTATGTAGTTGCTTCATGTTCAGTGTCTTTCATACAAAAGAGTAAATAATTTGAGACAGGAAAAAGGGGGACTGGTACACTAGGATGTGTCCAGTCTGGTGGCAGAGAGCAAGTCCTACCCAAAAGGGCATGCTAACAGGAAGTGAAGCTGGGGTTGATCCCAGGCCAGTACATTTAGATTCTGATTGCTTATTAATTARGCAATCCTCCCGCACCCCTTTTATTTTAAACAGTGCTAGGGATTGAACTTAGGGGACTTGCACATATTAGGGAAGCACTCTACCACTAAACTACATGCCCAGCCCTTTTAAAATTTTATTTTTGAGGCAGGGTCTCACAAAGTTACCCAGGTAGGCCTCAAATTCATGCTCCCCCTTCCTCAGCCTCCTGAGTAGCTGGGATCACAGGCATGTGCCACCATGCCCAGCAGGCAATTCCTTTTTAGCAGGGTTTGTGGAATGGGATCAAGAAAACAAATCCTAGCAACCACCGCCATAGAAGGCAGACTTCCCACTTAACACACCAAAGCCCAAGGCTGCAGATTCAAATTGGAGTATGTGAGGAAGGGGCTGTTCTCCAAACTATCTCCTAAACCAGCTGGGAAAGCCCTGCCCCTTCCGAGCTAAAAGCCGATCCCCAGAGTCCTGCTTCTCCAGCAATTGCTAGTGACATCACCCCGTCTATGGGGGAGCTGGTTACACTTCTATAARGAGAGACTCCACATTCAAACATGCACTCCAGAGTGGGCCTGGGTCCTTCATCCTGGGTGATCCACACTGTGATTCAGTCCTCAACCCACCACATCACTGTCTTCTCCCCAATCATCCTCTCTGTTCCCAGTCCTCACTCAGAACACCAGGGTCACAACACAGGCCCTGCCTGCCACTCTAGCATATCACACTACCACTGCCACTCACCCACCCAAGTCCCAGACCAATTTGCTCCCTGGAAATTGGGGCCCTAAGCCCCTAGCTCTGTCACTCCAACAGAGAGTTAGCTGTAGCTACTCAGCTGAGACTACAGCCCAAGAAACATGGTTGCTGTGGCATTGCCATGCCAGAGAGCCACTGTTGTGACAGGAAGGTTTCCTGGGAGGCCTTAAATACTATTCACCTGAGACCACCCAACCAATAAAATCCAGAATGATCCCCCGGGATTCCCAGTGCCCACCACTCTCCAGCCTCCATCCCTTAGAGGCTAGAGCCAGAGACCCACTGCTGAGGAACCAAGAGTCACCTCATCTGTGCAGGACATGGCTCTGGACCAAGTCCTTCTCCCAGTACCTCATCACACTCAAGACCAGAGGCAGGAGATCATCAGAGAGTCTAAACATGGACAGGGTTTATTTTTTCTTAGCTACCTGAGCACTGTGATTAGAGATAGGAGGCATCCTCCACCAAGAACAGCTCCCCTGGGRTCAGCAGGCACCTGCCCAAAGGCCTTGGATGCAGCCCACAAACCTTGTGGGATCTCACTAAGGGTGCCCACTGCCAGGAGGCATCTGATGCCCCTCCCCCAGCCCCCACTTCCCACCAGTCAGAAAATGGCTGGCCCCTCACTTCCTCACTGAAGGCATCTCAGGTCAGCTAAACAGATTCTGCCATATTCCCCAGCTGACATGGTCTGACAGGCCTACTGGAGGTGGCATAAGATGCACCAACCTTTCCCAAAGGTCCACACTGGGCTGCCTGCACACACATGCACCCTTTAGCCTCACGAGGCCTTCCTTCTCTGGTAGACTGAGTTGCCATCTTTGTCGTGGGTGTTTTTTAAACTTGAATTTCTCAGGGCTTAAATGATTTGAACACCACAGGTCCCAAAGCCTTCATGTTCACAATCTAGCTGGAAGCTGCCTCCCAGGACATCTTTTTCTGCAGCCAGGGAAAGCCGCCCACAGGATGCTGCAGAACCCTGCCCTAGGGTTGGTGGGAGAACTCCTGGCTATTTTGAATCTGTTGGAATTAAATAGCTGCCTGCTTATTTTTAGCAGGTCCATTTGCCAAGAAATAGATGCACGCTGGCTCATTGCCAAACGGTCACACAGAGCTAAAGGCAGGCACGAGCCACACCACAAGGCCTTCACATTCTCCTCACTCCAGGTTCTAAAAGGACCCCTTCTTTCTCCAAAGAGGTACCTGCAGCTTCTCAGAACAGCCTTTGGAGAAGTAATGGCCTCATCCCAACCCAGTAACCACAGTCTAGATCCTTCTGGCTAAACAAGAAAACAAATCCCTGGGAATGGGACAAAAAAGTGTTGGTCCCAGTGACTAAGCCAATTTGGCTACAGTTACTGTGAAAAAGAGCTGCACATAATTGACAGGAAAGTCAAACATAACAACAGTGTAGGAGCCAAAAGCCCAAGTTTATTCTGGGTTTGGACCTGGTCAATGGACCCACATCCACTTTGTGTTCTGAATAAACACTTACACATCCTCTCAACCGGAATTTGAACATTTCTGTCACCATCCCAATGTTCATTTTGCCAATGGCTGTTCCAGGGTGTTAACCACCAGGAAGGTGCCTACCTAAGATATCCCACCAACAGAGTGCCCGGCACAGCAAGCTCTTGCTGAAGGCAGGTCCCCTGGAAGGGGGTCTTTCCCTGCAGGGAATCGTAACTGAAAGCCCAGTGCTCTGCTCCAGCATTCAAAGAACCAGCAGGCTGTGAGCCAGGCAGAGGAAACTCACACGCTCAGAGATCTTTCCCTGTCCACAAGAGTACCTCTTGCTATATCCTAAGTGTTCTCCCAAGTCCTCATCAGGTCACAGGTGTTCACTTTACTCACATACCTGAGTATGTGTGAGCTGCCACACAGAAGCCCCATTCCAGATGGAAGACTCGAACTCTCCACAGACACTGGCTCACACTGGCATCCCACACCTCGGGCAGCAAGAAGTAAACCAAGAGAACCCAGGGAGGTGCTTTCAAAGGCTAGGATTTTCCCAGGCCTCAATGAGGGGGAAGGGAGATGACATAAACGAAGGTTCTAATGCCTTGAAAGGTGAGAGGGCAGCAAGTCCCAGAGCTGGGCCAGAACAAGTCCTAGGAGCGGAAACTAAAGAGCTGGTAAAGGGCCAGACCGAAGGAATCTGACCTTTCTGGTCAAGGCAACGGGAACCATAGGATCTGCATAGTTGCAACATGGTCAAAGTGGAGCAGGTCACCAGAGGTAACAGTCCAGGCAATCCCCCCTGCAGCAACTGCTATGCAACACTGATAGCCACAGGAGGTTTACTGAGCACTTG